CGAGGTTTGTGGGTCATTCAAATTTTTGCCAGAACTTTCAACTAATGGGAAATTTATTAACTGTTATACAAGGTGATATTTGAGCTTCAACTGGATTTCCCGTAATAGTTTCCAGGAATTAATAAACAATCTGTAAATTCCAACACTAATTCATATAATCCAGAGCTTTCATTTGCTTCTATGGTTACATATTTCTGACCTAACTATACAGAAGCCATGTTGTGCTTGATCAAATATATCCGTCTAAACATTAAAAGGGGTCACACAACTGATTATGGAAAGACAAGAGCGTCTACCTGAAATCAAAGACCAGGCAGTTGTAGTCATTGGTCTTCTGCCTCTTTTTATAAACTCGCACGTCTTGGATATCACAGGCAAAATTAAAGAATCCAAGCATTAGAAATAAGATTCTATACAACGTTACGACGTAGATAAATGGCGCGAATACCTCATAACTACTGTAAGGAGAGAAAATTGAAATGCTATGGGCACGGCATAGGAGGCAAGTCTTTTCCATGCAATCTCACAAGATTAACACAATAGAAAAAACAAGAGGCTGAGCGCTATAACGCAATTCGTATCGCTTATGATATAAGTATTGCTTCAGCAACTTGCTGTGACGCTTTGTATGAAGACCTATTCCAAATGTCTTCTCGGTATTTACGCTTTTTTCATATGGGGCGTTCCGAGCCCTTATGCTCGGGTAAAAATTGCCGGTAGACCCCGTATTCAAGGGGTGTGGTAGCTGTCTACCTCCTCAGACGAGACTCTGCCCTTCGGCATAACCCTATCTGGGTTGCTCTCCACCCGGAGACAGGGAGTCGACAAGCAGAGTTAACGTCATTTTCCGCTTTTTCCATTATTTCTTCCAGGGCACTGGGAATACTTGTACTACATTAGACAAAACGTTTTTCTTTTAATTTCCATTTCGCTTTTTAGTGTTCCAATGACCGCGTCCCAAAAATTCTTCCATGAATAAATTTATGAAATTTCTTCACAGTAAATATAATTGCTAGAGCCTCTCTGTCTGTCTAACTGTGACTTCTCTCCGCTGGTAGAAGTGAACATGAAGCATTAGCGAAGGCTTTCGTTTTACTGCCGTAGTATTTTTCGCAAAATCGCCTCTTCAATACCATACTCACTTGCATCTAACGCCACTACAATTTCTGCTTTTGGATGGTAGTGTGCTACTGATAAATCTGACATAAGTTTTTTTTTTCTATTTCATCAAACGCCATTTGATAGGTATCATTCCAGTTCTACTTTATTTCTTTTTTAAGCATATCGTTCAGTGGAGCTCTCAAATTATTCATATTATGTACATATATTTGATAGTAATTATCCACTTCTAGAAAAGTTTGTAGCGTAGTAACGTTTGTTGGTGAGGGAATATTTTTAATTGCACTTGGCCTCGACGCAACTAGTTGACGACCATTTTATCAATAATTTGACCAAGGTATTTCATTTTCGGCAAAAACAATTCACATTTTTCTTCACTGAGCTTGAATTTGTACTCTCTTAGTTTTTCCAAAATTGTTTTCACATACCTAGCATGTCGTTTTTTAGAATTTTGATTAAAATGTCCTCCAGATACGCCACATCAAGCTTGTTTATACCAAAAGGAAGTCGGTTAAACCTCTATAATACTCTGTGCGTATTCATGGTCGTTAATTCTGGACATTCATTTTCAATATGAATGTGCAAATACGCTTCAGAGAGATTCAACTTTGAAAGTATTTGTCCGCCGATTATCTTCGAAAACATTTCCTCTGGACTTAGTAATGGGTAGTTACGTATTTCTAAACAAATGCTTAATCCTGTCGTGAAATCTGCGATTTTTTTCTTTATATACACCGCTGGTGCAGCTCATTTTGAATGGTTATTTTTTTTCTAAAACACCAATTCTTTTGAGTCTGTTCAACTCTTCATTGATTTGTTCCAATTTCCTGACATGTGGTTTTACTGATTATTGAAATATCCCGACCAGTGTTCAGTAGCATTTTCACACCCACATTATTTTCATATTCACAAATTTCCATTTGTTTTCTGTGAGCATTTTCTCGTTGCAATACTGCACATGAATTTCTTCCTGTGAGAATGTTTTTGATTTGGTTTCGCAGTGTGACTTTATATGTTCCAATTACCACACTTGTAACATTCTACATTTTTAAATGGACATACTTTTCCAAGATGCAATTTACCATATTCTCCTATTATTCTCCTTTTTGTATATTTGTCCTTTGCTTGTACCAATGCACATTCTTTTTTTTACTTCCTTCAGCGTCGCGTTTTAGACTTAGAATTGTCTGACAATCATCCACTATTTCTTGCAGTGTAATATCATTGGGTTGTTCAATTTTCGTTAGAATTTTCGCTCATGTTTCAGAAACTTTTTAGCCGTCACACCTTGAATAAAAATCAACTCTGAACCTATTTGGAGTCATTTCCTTTATTCTAAAATATTAATCTTCTTTTTTGTCTAGATTCATGCACCTCCAACGAGTATTAAATAGAGATCTCTTGTAACTAAAGAATGTCTACCATGTCATCAAACCCAATTTCACCTGTTTCTTTCGATAATATGTAGTTGCACTATTTTTCATACTCTATCGGAGCTATTTTCCTTAACAACAATCTTGTTTTTCCCTCATCTTCCCAGCCGCTGCATTCCTGACTGAATATTTGTTCATATCTACGAAAATTCTCAGAAAAGGTCAGCCCCTCATCAGGATTGTATACAAATTCTTATAAGGTGTTTTGGACAGTGTCTGGCGTAAGAGATGTTGAAGAATTTATTATTTTCGTCAGAGTTATATCCAACAACTCATATTGCTGTTTTTGTAGTTATAGCAAGTGTTTATTTTATTGTTGTTGCTCTTTCTGTTGTTGAATTTCAAATATTGAAGTCAAAATTTGCTCCATATTCGCAAAAATATTTTCTTTTCCTTAAACCCAAGAGAATTTTTCTTCTACACAAGTGTAGTTAAAACAGTGTTAAAATTCTTGCCATTATCCCTATCGTTGTTCCCCAAGCAACAAGTATATTTTCCGTACTTGTTCTCTCGTGTGATTTCCTTAATTCTCGTTGCTGTTATAAATCGCCTGAGTTTCGAATTCATCGTCGCCACTGTTATAGCGTGCTTTGGAACGCTTATAGATAAGTAATAAACAATTTGCTGTGATTAATTAGTCTGAAGACTGACTCCAAACGGCTTCTTCTTCTCTTACCTGGAATTCTTTATTTTATAGATACGGGCTAGTTCATGTTGTCATAGTGAGTGTACTATTTACTCCACGACACTGAGAAACCAAATCATTATGCAACATCTATGAGCAGACAGGAAGATTATACAGAAACTTCTAGATTGGCACGCAATCCAGATATATATAGAAAAAACTGGTAGATTGCTCAGCAGTACAGCGATCCTTCGGCCACACCCAGATTAATATGACGATTAAGAATAATCAGACGAAATACATTCCTTAATTCCACTAGTCTAAACCTTCACAATTAGGACTCACCATGCCACCTATAATTGATCATGCCATCCCCATTTCTTTCATATTCCATTGATAGCTTCTTTTCCAGAACTGTTGCACTAAGGATTGGACTCCCGTGAAATTGCTTTCTTGATCATTACAATCATGAAGTTTTCTAATTATCTATCCTGCATATCCTCCTGATATACACCACTTACTCACTCCTTCATACTTCAACAACCGTTAGGCTCACAGCCACATTCAGTTGAAATACCGGTTCCCGCACGATCACCGACTTTAAGCAACGTCGAGCTCGGTCAATATCTAGATGAGTGACCATTGGGAAATACCAGGTTCTGTAAGATTGGATGTGCGGGAGTAATGGATAATTTGTTAATCGGAGAGCTGTGTTCCAATTCCAATTTGGTTCATTATATTCTCTTATGAACAAAATATCCTTGGAAAAGGTGTGGATCTACCTCTTCTCCATCCATTGTGTTCGTCCTGTCTTTTTTTTTTCGCATCTCGAGAGCGCCTTTTTTTCGACTGAGAAAAAAAAAAACAGGTGTTATATAGCTCTCCCAGTGCCAGACCCACGCTGTCTATTGGTTAATACCTGCCTAGTAGCATTCATATGCAAATAGGCAGCGCCACCTACTCTAAGTAGATGATCGTCTCTCAAGTATCCATTGTGGAAGGGGACGCAACTCCTGGTGCTTATAGCACCACATACAACCAACTCGGAGTCTTTTATTGGGCTGAGCCGATTCTCTGTTACTGATGATTGCTTTCATCTTCCTAATCTAAACTTCTGAAATTGAGTATTGTATGCTCTATGCATTTTATATCTACAGGTTACGATGGGTAAATTGTCGCCATTTTATATTTTTAATTTAATGAATCCGCCTCTTCTCCCTCCAGCTATGGGTTAATTATTAATGTTTGTATCACTAAACCATTATTATCAAAAAACAATTCTTAGAGGCTAGAAATATAGACAGAGAGAAAGAGATAGATAGACAGACACAGAGAGAGAGAGACAGAGACAGAGACAGAGAGAGAGAGAGAGAGAGAAAGAGACAGAGAGAGACAGAGATAGATAGATAAAAAGGTAGATATAGACACTCAGATAGATAGATAGATAGATAGATAGATAGATAGATAGTCGAAAACGAATAAATCAATCAAGTCGCCCATCATTTTGAATGGAACCCTCTAGCTTGAGTGGCTCTCAAGATTTGTTCAGTATAACGGTACAAAAACGGTAGGCTGGGATGTCCTGGAACGGTTAATTTCGCTTTGAGTAATAAGAAAAATTCACCTACTTCGATTATTCAGTGATTAAACGTTTTAGTTTTGTTTATAACCGAAATAGTATCACCATGAATCGATTTGATACGCAAAGTTGTGATCCTAAATGGAGAAAGAAATTTTTAAGTCGATTAAATTAACCAGGTAATTTAATCGATTCATTTTGCATCCTTAATTAATTAGCCAATTACCTTCAGAAATGATATAAACTAGACGGAATCTTTCCCCCCCAATCCTGGGGCATCTGAAAAGAAGAGAATAAGATTGAAAGAAAAAAAACAGATAGATAGATAGATAGATAGACAGACACAGAGAGAGAGAGAGAGAGAGAGAGAGAGAGAGAGAGACAGAAAGAGAGAAAGAGACAGAGAGAAACAGAGATAGATAGAGAGACAGATATAGATAGCTAGATGGAGAGAAAAATTGACAGAGAGAAAGAGATAGACAGAGAGACAGAGAGACAGAGAAAGACAGAGATAGATAGATAAAAAGGTAGATATAGACACTCAGATAGATAGATGGGTAGATGCACAGACAGATATATATATGTCTATCTATCTGAGTGTCTATATCTACCTATATATATATATATATATATATAGAGAGAGAGAGAGAGAGATAGATAGAAAGAGAGAGATATAAATATAGAGATAGTTACAGTGAGAGGGATATAGGCAGAGAGAGAGAGAGAGATAGACATAGATAGATAGATAGATAGATAGATAGATAGATAGATAGAGCGAGAGAGAGAGAGAGAAATAGACACAGAGAGAGGTATAACGTATTTATTTAAATAGTTCGATAGTGCTAATGAAACTGACTCTGATTGCTGATCAAACCGTGTATATGTCCAGGTAAATTCCATTAGAATTTAGTCGAAATAAATTGTTATGAAGTTGGCTTAGTCCACTGAGGAAAATACTGGCGTTCTGAATAGACTTTATTATCACTTTCCTTTCACCTATGCACATTTTCTCATAATTTAGTTTTTTACTTATTGATTACCCAATGCAAAGGTGCAACAAGTATTCAACGTAGAGAGCGACTGAATAAAGTTGTTTTTATGAAGGTAAGACGATGGTTTAAGAACTGCAAATTATGATTGATCCTAGACTTAGCCTGGGAAGATAATTAAAACTATATATTTGCCCAATGTTTAGATTGCTTGCCGTAGTCTATTCTGTTATTTTACCGGGTTACAATTTTTAATTAATTAATTTATTTGGATTGATTATTTTTACTTGTTTTTGCTTATTTATGCTTATGTTTATTAGTTCTACGGTTATTTTAGCAGGAGCGATTTGTTAATTTGTTCATTTGCAAAATGCAAACACACAGACACACTAAATACAAAAATGCGAAACTAGAAAAAATAAATAAAAAAACGAGGACGCATGTATATCCACATAAATGCACTCATAAACACAAACCCACAGTTAGACGCACACACATGAACACACAAATGCAAACAGGCAAGTGAGTACACGTTTGTATGTACGTATATACGCAGGCGTGCGCACGCACAGAGAAACACATATAAACAAGCACCCAAACAGTGATACATACACAGAAAACTTTAATTACAACCTAAACTAAATGGCCAAAATAATAAAAAAGGGAGATCAACAGAGACATATACCGTTAACATAAATACACACACAAACACAAACATAGAAATAGACGCGCATACACAAATACACAAACATACACGTGCGGGTGTGTACGTGTATATTTGTATGTAGTATACATATGCTTTCGCAGGCGTAGGCACCCACCCCCGCACAAACACACACAGCACAATAGTAATAAAACAGAGGTCAACGGAGAAGTTGGGGAAAGAATAAAAAAAAAAGAAAGGAAGTGGAAATCAATTTCTGCGTTAACTCCGAAAAACATGTAAAATTCATAATATATTATAGAAAATGGAAGACCGCAAACCTCGTCGTCACAAACCGAAAAAAAAACACCATCAAATCTAAACTAGCAGTGACCAATATAGTTTACCAATTCCATTGCCTTGTACAAGACTGTGTTACTTGTCAAAAACTAATGACCAATATCGGTCCACACCACTACCATACTGTACAGACATCTTACCTGCCACCTGTGGCAGCAGAGACCTATTAATAAACATCTATTAACTCATAACTACCAAGAAACATTTAGGAAAATTCTAATACAAGGATCCTTTTCAGGTGACATAGCCGTACATAGGGAGGCTCGGCTTATTCAAATTTATTCTCCCACTATCAATATCACAATATTTAGCAGGAGTAAAAGTGTTCTAAAAATAGAAGTCTTGCCCCGATTAACTGGTCGCGCATAGCGCATGTGACCTTCAAGAATTACACAAGCCTGCAGAATGTAAAATTACTATGTAGCAGCACCACAGAGAATTTCATAATCCCCAAAACACATCCTTGATAATCGCTAACGAAATATCCGAAAGCCCGCGAAACAATTACGATTATGGACAATTCCTATATTCTTTAAACGTAAAAACGGAAAAATGTTAGATTGCTGGAAAAAACTAAATAAAAGATTAATTAAATCTTGTCAGTCATTTTAATGAAAAGTGCATATATATATATATATATATATATATATATATATATATATATATATATATATATATATATATATATGCACTTTTCATTTAAATATATATATTAGTCGATTTAAAACAGTGCTCGATAGGATAACCTAGAGCTTTATACATATAAATATAGATAACTAGACTCGTTTCGAAAAACCCTCGAATTTTTTATTTGCTAATCAAATCAATCTCGAGGGAAAAAAGGTTTTTAAAAAAGAAAGAGCTACAAACATGAACTTCTGCCGACAAAAAAATCGCACAGATGCAGGTCTGAAGCCCAAAGAAAAAAACCCGATACGAGTAAACAACTAACAGAAGAGCTCAATACAACCGTAGAGCAGACCGAGGTACACCTAGTGAGGCAGACAAACCCACCGAGGTTTCACCTAAACGGGTCGTCAGGGAAAGACAAGAACTCCCGAATTTGTTGCTTGACTTTCCTGACGATCCGTTTAGGTGAAAACCTAGGTAGGTTTGTCTGGCTCACTAGGTCTATCTATCTATCTATCTATCTATCTATCTATCTATATATATATATATATATATATATATATATATGGACTTTTCATTTAAATATTTAAAAAAAATTAAATATTTAAATTGAAAACAAACATCAAATTAATTTATTCGTTTTTTTAGACATCTAAATTACTATCAAGCATTAAAATCTATTCTTTACATAAATTGCTAAAACCCAATTACAGCCTCTTTCTCTTTACTTCCCTCTCCCTCTTCTTTCTTTTTCCTTTTTCTTTTCTTCCTTCTCCCCTATCACTTCCGTTAAGTTAACCGTGTAAATAGGTCAAGGTCTGGTCACTCCTCCTCCCCCAATACAAAGTATACTTGCGAGAGATATGAAATTAATCCCTCCCTATACTCTACCATGTCTCTTTAACTATCCCTCTTACACTCTCTGTTAAGTTACAAAAAACTTATACTACCCATCAATTTTAATTTAATTTTTCGTTTCATTTCATTTTTTGAAAGTGCTATCTGATGATCCGGCGTCCTTTAAAAGGGCTCTGGTGAAATAAATTATTATAATGGTACCTTAAAGTGGTCTGTTTTTCTTTTAAATATTAGTTCTGGATTTACATTGACCTCTCAGGATTTCGTCCTCCTTGTGATTACCTATACGGATTACCAATTTCTTCATAACTTAACTTATATATATATATATATATATATATATATATATATATATATATATATATAACGTAATAAAATATAGATGTAACGTATGCTATATTTATTGGATAAAGTGCTCAATATCAGGGATAGCGCGTTAGTAAATATGAAAGTGAACATTGTGTGGCACCATTTACCAGGGAAAAAAGAAAAGAAAGGAAAAAGAGAAAAGAAAGAAAAGGAAAGAGAGGCGAGACCCAATCGTGGATGTCATTACAATGGCAGAAGGATTCTAGGTGGATGGGGGAATCGACTGTGTACTGTCAACAACTTGTGTTATCAGGGCTTTGGATAGGTAAGAGCAGCTCAATGTGGAAAACATCTAATTAGCAGACCACAGACCGACTAGCCAAGAAAAACTCCAATTAAAAATGTTATTTTGATAATTGACAAAGAACAGGTGAAATACAGGGCTTTGGATAGATATGAAAAATTAACTGTGTCGTCTGCCAAGCCGCACACGAAGTAACGTCTGACCGTTTTTTTTTTGACAAGACATTTTTGGCTGCGATAAGAGAACTATGTTATCAGAAATTGGCACCAAGAATGCAAACACGGCTAGGACAATGGAATTATTTTTTTTCTCGAGACGACGGTCGAGTGTGTTTCGCTAGACCACCCATTCTGATAATTAGCGATAAGACGACTGACGAAGTCTAGGTGAGAACAAGAGTTATGACCACCACCGATCGCATTGTTCTAATTGCGGACAGAGAAAATGAGAACTGTGATTAAAAGAAAGAAGAGGAAAAGAAAAAGATATTTTTTTTTAAGCAAGATGTTTTATCCCTGAAACAAAACCCGCTGGATCGCACACGCCCGGCTGGATATCATTGGTCGAGTGGTGATCACGTGACGCAAAGAGGAAGCTGTCGCCGCCCACCTAGAGGATGGATATGAGAGGTTGCTACGAAGAAGTGGGGAGGGCAGTTCACGCCCCTCTGAAGTATGGTGAGAAGGTGGGAGTAAGAGAAGGCTCCCAAAAATGGAAAGAAGTGGAAAATTCCTAACCAAAAATAAGAGAAGTGGATATGTATTTAGAATTATCGAGGAACCCCTGGCGCCGACAAACCCACCCCGGTTTTGGTCGGCGTCCATATAAGCAAGGTCGCAGCGAGCGAAAATCAGACAGTTCGGGAGAGACAGTTCGGGAGAGACAGTTCCCAGAGTCAGTCTCCAGTGCTCAGTTGAAGCAGGCCTCACATCGGCTGACCAAAATTCGCGCAATTTCCGGACTCATCTTCAATCCAAGAACAATTATTTTGAAGAGCGACTTAGATCCAGACCACCAAAATAAGTTTTTTTTCGACTTTCGCCCGAAGACACACCAAAAAAAAAAAACAATTTCTTAAAGAGCAAACAACTTGAAGTGTTAAAAACTCGCCTAACGGAAAACAACGTGTCACAATCCATAAAACTGGTCGGGATATAGACGCAGTCCTATGTATCCAACAATTAGACATAAAGTTTGTTATCCTTTTCTTTGATACCTTGAACTTTTGTGTTATCATTTTATCTCTTTTATACATATTTGTGCGATACCACCCTCGCTTGGACCCAACTTGCATTACGGCCCTGACGACTGATTGATTTCGTCTGCCTAAGATCAATTCACAACGTGGGTAGGCAGACTGGAGATCAACGCAGTTACTTTGGTAACCAGACGTTGGAAGCGAATTGGGAACGACGAGGCTGATATCGAATCTAACCAGATTCCCATCCGAGTCACCAAAAGGTTAGAACGTCACATTTGGGTGCCGCGACCGATACCAAGCCAGTTGGTCGTCACAGGACGAGACAACACGACTGACGCGACAGGCGGACGTCACGTTTGGAGCGGCGACACCCGAACGAAGCAGCGAGGAGCGAGCAAAGGCTGTGTTTAGGGACGTCACAATTGCAAACAACATTAAGCAGCGACAGTCTGTTTTCTGCTTAAATGCAATCATCTGACTATCATGTTCTGATTGCGTTTAAGCAGAAAATACATTGCCTTCACATAGTGATGTCTTTTTATATGAAATGACATACTCTACCAAATATACAAGGTGCAATTGGTAAATTGTCGGCAAATTATATTTTTAATTTTGCGCATGCGCGTTGTTTGATTTTGTTTTATCGACTGCACGTATAGTAGGGTCGGTTGGTCATCGTCTCTGAGAAAAGGAGCACCATGACGCAAATGACTCCGCTAGAAATTTGGAAAAGGCATACACTTCTGCTTGGCATTCGCACCGGAAGCTTCAATACGAACATTTCAGTGTAATTGGGTATCAATGTGAGGACATTACAAAAGATCTGGAAAGAGGTAGATGAGTCTAGCTAATGGTGATTATGAACACACGGCAGCTCGGAAAACTCACTCCGATCGTTCTGATAAGAAAAGAACTTCCGAATTTGTTGTTGAGGGCTTCAGACTCAACATAGGGGCATATATCAAGTGCCTTGCGTAGGTAGTACGGCCTTGGGTCAAAAGGGCAGCTGCTGAAAGATCACATATCTGGCAACAGGTTTCGGCACCATGTCACACAAGCAGTATAACATAGACAATTTCTGCGACCAAATCACCCTTTACATCTGGTCACCTAACTCCCCAGACTGCAACCCCTTGATGTGGGGAGCAGTTAAGCGAGAGAGCAACAAAACTCTTTGTAACACCAAAGATGAACTGAAGGCAAGGTTTATGGAAGCATTGACCAAATTTAAACATTGACACCGTCCAGAAGAGTTGCAGGAGATTCCGGAGTCGTTTGGAGGTCGTGCTTGAAGCCAATGACGAATATACTAAATAAATTTACTCTTTAGTATTTCAAGATGTTTTTATGTAATTATGGTAAATATATTTGTTTAAATGAGATGTCAGTATTTTTTTTTGTGTGTGTGTGTGTCTGTGGGGGGGTAATTTCGACGACAATTTATCCATCGCACTCTGTATTTATTACATAACTGATATACAAGAGTTTAACATATTATCTATGATTGATCTATTTCCTATTGGTATTTGATATCTTCTTTTTTTTTGCCGACGGTGGAACCTCATAATGCCCGAGTTGGAAATGAGAGAGCGAACTCGGACATGTTCTCTTTGCAGTGACCCAAACCATGTTTCTGTCGAACTTTCATTTGTGTCTCACACAGGATAACGCATACAAGGAACCGTATACCGTGTAAAAAAATCTTAGAGCAGTCTATAGTAATACTTATGACGGGTGTAATAGCACAATTCTACAAATCGTGTAACAGTATAACTGTCCATCTCACAAAATGTTTTATATCTAAAACCCAATTAAATAATTGTATTTTTGTCCAGGTTTTCATATAAAAGGTTTAGCCATCTTGAAACCATTTGTTGTATGAATCACTGAAAAACACTTTGAGTTATTCAGCGAGAAATAAAACAGATTAAAATCGTTTTGTGTCAGACCCACTGTCTTCCCAACTGAGCAATGGTGAGAGGAAAAAGATTATTCAGGCCTTCAGTAATGGTACCGACATTCATACTGTGGCTTCCATCTTCAAAGTGCATTCATGAACGATTAAGAGAACGGTGAATAAGTTTAAAAAAAGAGGCAACACTAGTGAGGAAAACTGGATCAAATGGTCACAACAGGAAGAGCGATCATCATTTCATCTTAGATCAATTAGAAAAGATCCAACTCAGTTCGTCAGACATTTGGCATGTGAGTGAGGAGTTTCACCTATGACAGTCCAAAGAACAGTGAAAAAATGACTTGAAAATGAAACCTTACGTGAAACCTGTGAGGTAGCTTGTTACTCCAGGACAGAAAGTTACAAGGCTAGAGAGGGCGAAGATCATCTTGAATAATTTGGAAAATTATCCTGGATTAATATATATATATATATATATATATATATATATATATATAGTAATTCTTTCATGAACTTCTGATCCTTAGCTATGATTAATAAATGTACATATATAGCTGCATAATTAATCCATATGTGAAAAAACCCGTCATTTTGTGGGTACTTTAATAAGGACTTATGGCCGTATCTCGGTGACACACCGGTTCCCATACGGTTGGATCCAGCTCTATAGGATACAAAGCAGGAAACATACACAAATAATAATAATAATAATAATAATAATAATAATAATAATAATAATAATAATAATATGTTGGTTGTTATTGTAGAGATTTTTCAAGCGTAGTTAAGATGTGGTACAATGCCGAAAGTAGTGCGCACCCAGTGAGGATTAAACTCACTACTCAGTCGTAATTGTTCTAGCAAGACAAGCTTGTTAACCATTACACCGCCTGGAGGTGCCCTAATGATTTTCCAAGCGTAGCTTAGATGTAGCAAAAGGACGAATGTATGGAGCACCCATTGAGGATCGAACTCACTACTCAGTCGTAATTGTTAACCATTACGCAACCTCGCGGTGCACCGGTTGTTATTTTAAGAAGCAGGAAAAAATGAAACAGGCGATAAACATTCTTTCTTTCTTTCTTTCTTTCTTTCTTTCTTTCTTTCCACGCGAACAAAATGCAATAGCCCCATTATTGAAACTAATTAGTGTCTTATTCTCAAGTAAATTGTATAACATGAGTGACACGATTGTACGTATTATAAACGGTGTAAGAGTTACAGCGTCGAAGATATTGGGAAGAAATAGAAAGAACAGAAATAAAAAAAAAACATCGAGAAAAATTCAGAATGTAAGTTTTAAATCAAGTCTGGGGTGTAGAACAAAATCTTGCTTTTACTTGAGTTCCATTGAGAATCACCTGATATTATTGGCAGGAAAACCAAATGGTTCTAGATAAGCTTTATTAGAATGAATACTGAGGAAGGTGCTGGAGTATTGATAAACCTCCCTGACATCCCTTAGTATCACCCTTTCCTACTTCAGATTTTAGTAGAATCATCTTACTCTTTTTTCTTTCTTTCAATACCACTATTCGTTATTTTATTATCTTTCTTCCTTATCTTTTTGTTTGCCTTCCTCTCCTCTTCTCTTTCAATTTTATAATTTCTTCTATATTACCGTTCCTCTTCTTCATCATCATCTCGTTTAATTGAAAATTGTGGTGAATAATATAAAAAAAAACTATTGAAATTAATGTATTTAGTCATTGTATCAAAAATGAAAATTGTGTTACTATTCAGTGAATCATATCAGCCATGTTTCTGTTGGCAATGTTACATAATATAACGTCGTCTTCATCGCATCAGCAAAGCAAGACGAAGGAGTCCTCTCTTTTTTATGTTCATTCATAGTGCCACTAATTCGGTCATTAAATTCCCAGGGATGAGACCAGGAGTCAAAATTAATGCTGCAAAATTTTCAGTTCAACGATTTGACATTGGAACTTTTTTCGACTTTTGATAAAAGGGTTAAAATGGAGAATTTACTTAAAGTATTATTTTAAAAGATTTTTCTAAGTCGCAGTTTTTGTGTCCGAATTCAAATTTAAATTAAAATTTTAAGAAAGAAAGAAAGAAAGAAAGAAAGAGAGAAAGAAAGAAAGAAAGAAAGTGAACGGAGTCCAAATGAAAGGAAAACAAATTTGAAAAGAAAGACAGAAAGAAAGAAAAAAGCAAGCAAGAAAGAAAGAAAGAAAGAAAGAAAGAAAGAAAGGAAAGTGAATTGCAGTCAACATGAAAGGAAAATAAAGGAAGAAAGAAAGAAGAAAGAAAGAAAGAAAGAAAGGAAGAAAGAGAAATGCTAACGACAGTCAACACTGAAAAAAATAAGTTTAGAAAGAAAGAAAGAAAAAAGAACGAAGACAAAAAGAAAGAAATAAAAAAGAAAATAGAAAGGCAACCAACACCGAAGGAATATAAGTTTAGAAAGAAAGAAAGAAAGAAAGAAAGAAAGAAAGAAAGAAAGAAAGAACGGAGTCCAAATGAAAGGAAAACAATTTTGAAAAGAAAGACAGAAAGAAAGAAAAAAGCAAGCAAGAAAGCAAGCAAGCTAGCAAGAAAGAAAGAAAGAAAGAAAGAAAGAAAGAAAGAAAGAAAGGAAAGTGAATTGCAGTCAACATCAAAGGAAAATAAAGGAAGAAAAAAGAAAGAAGAAAAAAGAAAGAAGAAAGAAAGAAAGGAAGAAAGAGAAATGCTAACGGCAGTCAACACTGAAAAAAATATGTTTAGAAAGAAAGAAAGAAAAAAGAACGAAGACAAAAAGAAAGAAATAAAGAAAGAAAATAGAAAGGCAACCAACACCGAAGGAATATAAGTTTAGAAAGAAAGAAAGAAAGAAAGAAAGAAAGAAAGATAGAGAGAAAGAAAAAATAACGAAAGCAAGAAAGAAAGAAGGAAATAAAAGTCAAAACCGAAGATAAATAAGTTTAAAAAGAAAAAAGAAAGAAAGAAAGAAAGACAGCAAGAAAAGGGGACTATGACAAAAAGAAAGAAATAAAGAAAGAAAAGAGAAAGTCAATCAACAGTGAAGGAAAAATAAGTTTAGAATTAATGAAAGAAAAAAGTAAGAAAGAAGGAAAGAAATGTTGAAAGAAAGAAAGAGAAAATAACGAAAGAAAGAAACATAAAAATAAAATTGAATGGCAGTCAAAACCGATGAAAATAAGTTTAAAAAGAAAGAAAGGAAACAAAAAGAAAGAAAAAAGAAAGAAAAAAGAATCAGTGTTAACGGCAGTCAACACATAAGGAAAATAAGTTTAGAAAAAAAGAAAGAAAACAGAACGAAAATATAAAGAAAGAAATAAAGAAAGAAAAGTAAAAGCAGTCAACACCAAAGGAAAAATAAGTTTAGAAAGTGAGAAAGTAAAGGCCTAGAAAAAAGGGGAAAAAAAAACGAAAAATGGTGAGTGACAAACAATGAAAAGAAATTGTTTTGTAAGAAAATAATTTTGAGTCGAAAGAAAGACAAGTGTAAAGAACATATTGAGATTGAATAAATGTTAGTGAAAAAGGAGAAACAAATTTAGAAGGATTGAAAAGCAATAAAAGATAAGAAAAAATATATTCAAAGAAAGAGAATGACTGTTTTCAACAAAGAAATAGAATTTTCGAAGCTAAGAAATTGCAAATATCGAAAAAATAATTTAATGAATGAAAAAATAAAGATACTGAAAGCAAATAAATGAAAGCGAACGACGAAGAAAAATAAGATTGGTAAATAAGTAGAAAAAGAAATTATAAGAAAATAAAAATGAAGCAAAATCTTTCAAACTTTCTTTTCTTATTTCTTTACCAATTTTTCTTGATATTTCGTTCCTTTCTTCGTTTTTTTATTCACATTTTCTGATTTTTCGTTTATTTATTTCTTCCATTCCTTTACTCCTTATTGTATTTCTATCTATCTATCTATCTATCTATCTCAGACTGTTCATATCTATCTATCTATCTATCTATCTATCTATCTATCTATCTATCTATCTATCTATCTCAGACTGTTCATATCTATCTATCTATCTATCTATCTATCTATCTATCTATCTATCTCAGCCTGTTCATATCTATCTATCTATCTATCTATCTCAGCCTGTTCATATCTATCTATCTATCTATCTATCTATCTATCTATCTATCTATCTATCTCAGCCTGTCCATATCTATCTATCTATCTATCTATCTATCTATCTATCTATCTATCTATCTATCTATCTCAGACTGTTCATATCTATCTATCTATCTATCTATCTATCTATCTATCTATCTATCTATCTTTCTATCTGAAAGTTGAATTTAATGTTAACTCTATATATCTGTGTCTCTGTGTGTGTTATAGGGTGAAAAATAGCTATAATTACCTTCCCAGACCAAAACAAACTACTAAATAAACGATCAGAACTCATCTCAAAAATTGTTACTACGTTACTTATATATATATATATATATATATATATATATATATATATATTGCGTAGACTGTGCCATGTTTCCTCAAGGACACTATGCTGTTTGACAGCCCGTCATATAATTTCATGTGCACAACTGACCATAAGATTTCGATCAGATTCAGACAAAGACGTGATAATGGCGTTTACATTGTCTTCTCTCCAATAAACATTTTCCACGAAAAAAAATTCAGGGGTAACCTTAGATACATTTGAAGGAGCATTGTTGCGCATAAATACTGACATCATTTGGAAACTGCGAGGCTGTGACTTGCACCATTCAACAAAAACCTTTGTCTATGAAATCGCAATAGTTAGCTGTGTTTAACGCCTTTATCGACTTTTAATGTATCAGCAATGAATTGATCGACAATTCCAGCCCATATAACCATACTACCGCCTCCAATCTGTCTTCTTTTAGTCACAGTCACATCAGCATCGGATAAAACCCATCCTTTGGCCTATCCATCAGGTCTATCGAATGTCACCTGAAATTCGTTCGTGAATATGATTTTAGAAAAGTCAGTTTTCATGTATTTCTTGGTCCAATTTTGATGCTTTAAAATATTTGCTTTACTAAGAGGAGTTGATCTACAAATTGTCTGCACAGACTCCAATTTACAAAGTATTCTACACCTTTTGTAATTCTTCCTTAGTTCCATCCTGTTCAAAGATTTGAGAAATGGTTAAAAATGGTTGTTTCGCAATAACTGCCTTTAGTTCAGATTCCATTCGAGGAGACAAGTTTTGAGGTCATTTTCCTTGTTTCTAATTGCCAGCTTAGTTACGTTTTCAACAGCGCACCTTATTATTCGATAATCTTTGTGAAGCTCCTCTGATATCAGCAATGTGTCATTCTCTTAGTTAATAAATTTATTTTCTATTATCGAGCATGTGTTATATCATTTCCATTAGCCAACCTAAAATATATTTTATTAGATTTCAGAAGCCCTAAACTATATATCATTTTTATCTGCATAACTTCAGACAGTTAGTCAGCTGAGTGCCAAATGTGGTACATACTTGGGCGATCATGTATATTTCGATACATGACTGACGAAGCAGAAGATTTTTCCGCAGTAGGTTTCTTTCTGTGGTAGACTGGTTGCCAACCAAGCTTAAAGAACCCAGTCACTTCTGTATCTGTCTATATTTCTAAGATGAGGTATGATGTACACTATTTACATTATTCGGACTATTGTCTTCATCTTTGTCGCCATATTTACTACAACGTTTCGGCCTTTCAGTATCTGTCTATATTTCTGAGATGAGGTATTATGTACACTATTTACATTATTCGGACTATTGTCTTAATCTTTGTCACCATATTTGTCACAAGGTTTCGGCCCTTCAGTATCTGCCTATGTTTCTGATATGAGGTATTATGTACACTATTTAAATTGTTTAGACTATTGTCGCCATATTTATTACAACGTTTCGGCCTTTCAGTATCTGTCTATGTTTCTGAGATGAGGTATTATGTACACTATTTACATTATTCGGACTATTGTCCTCATCTTTGTCGCCATATTTATCATAACGTTTCGGCCGTTGTACGCTCCAGCATTCTTCAGGTGGTTGGAATGTCGAACTGAACCCTTTATTTCACTCACTGGGGTAGACTGTTCTAGTTCCATGTGCCATATTTTAATGGATGTCAGTTGTCAGTTATCTCCTGTTAATTCCCCTCTCCAAGTTCTCCACTGCCTTAACCGGGTATTGAACTCACATTCGTTGTGTCCTGTCATTGGATCTAAAGGACACATGGCACAGTGCTATTCAACTCATAGCTGCTTCTGCAATTCAACTAATAACTGAGGAGAGAAGAGATGGATTTATAGCTTACCCAAGGGTACTTATACGTAAATGAATGTCATGAACTCCTCTGGGATTCGAACTTGGCTCTCCGAATTCTTATTACAAGCCGATATCCATTACTCCACAACGCAAATCCAACAGCAGTTTTTATAATAAATAGTTTAATAAACATGTTGAAGCTACTTGAGAATTTAACTCTAAATTTTGACGTCAAAATTAATCGTTAAAAGTTTGACAAAAGATTTTCAAAGCAAATTTGAGTTATCGAGGTTATATGTGATTTACATAATAAATTCAGACGGACTGTATACTGTCCTGGGTATGACGATAAACTACATCTGACAGCAAGGCCTTTGGTCAGGAGGATCTGAGGAGCAGGGAAACACCTGTCAATTGCTGGTGTTTCCAGTTCCATCTTGACCCGGTGTGGTAGCACCTGTCAAAGTCCCTCTATGAGCAAATAGTTAACCCCCACCAAAAGGGGTCAAAATAATACTAGTAATACTTTTTTTTTTAATTATTACCTGCACTACATGTTTGAAAAAAAAATTATATTTTTGAAAAACTATTCCAACAAAACATTTTTAGAAAAAATATTAGCAGCAATAAAAATTTTGTCGGCATTAAATAACCCATTGAGGTGTTGATATGCCGTAAACCAAACCAAACCAAACCAAACCGGACTGTACATTTTCTTCTGTCTATTCTCGCAGTCAAACAAGGATGGCTCATTTTTTATCTAAGGTAAGGAGAGAGCGTAACGTACGCGCTAAGTAACTAACGAAAGAACAAGCTTAATCATTATAAGATTTTATTGTGGAAACGTCGAGTTGTTTGATTCAATGTGACATTTTGTGAAGACAATAAGAAAATAGATGAAAGAGGGAAGTTTATCTCAAAATGAAACTGAAAAAAAATAAAGCATGGCTTAAAAGAAATAAAAAAAATGGAAGAAAAAAAGCGAAAAGACAAAGGAGTCAAGCATGATGGGATTGATGGGATTGATGGGATTGATGACACAACGCTTAACCAACATTAAATATTCTCCTTTTGTTTTCCAATAAAGCAGTTTTACTTTCACTTTCTCTAAGAAAATTTATGTATTTGATCTTGATTCTGCTTTTTGCTAATTTTTTTTCTTTTTGTTAAATTTCGATTTTTTTTTATTGTTTAAAGTCACGCCCGGGTTTGTGTCATCGCGACGAGCTTTGCAGAAAAGCTACTAACATTTAATTTAAAGTTTTTCTTTGGAATTTTTTCTGCCACAATCAGCATTCGCTTTGTAAAGCGGAAGCAAATACGTTGAAGTATGAAATGTGATTAAAATTGGGATTTAATAAAGAGGTTTGAGGAAGGTTAAAGGGTTAAAGAAAAAGAGGTAAAAAAAGAGAAAGGAAGAAGTTAAGGGAAAAATAGAGATTTGAAAAAAAGAAAAAAGGAAAGAAAAGAGACAAAGAAAAAGAAGAATTTACAGTAATGAAAAAGGGTTAAAAAGAGAAAGAAAAAAAGAAAGAAAGAGGAACGAAAAAAGAAAGGAATAAAAGAAAGAATGAATTTAAAGGGACAGTAAAGTTTTGAAAAAAGAAAAAGAAAGAGAAAAAAGAGAATTAAATAAATAATTTAGAGGAATGAAAATAGACTTAAAACAAGAAAAAGAGTAAAAATGGAAAAATTAAAGGAATGAAAGAGTATTAAAAAGAGAAAAAATAAGAAAGAAAGAAAGAAGTAAGAGAAAAGAAAAATAGGAAAGAAAAGAAGAAAATGACTAAAAAAAGAAAAAGAAAAGGAATTGATGTGAAGCGGTTTCATCGAAATGACTGAAATTAAAAAAAAAAAAGAAAAAAAAGAAAAAGAAAAGTAAAAGGAAGGAAAATGAGCGAAAAATGTGGGAAAAAAAGAAAGAATAAGGAAAGGGTATAAGGAATGAAAACAAAAAGAAAGAATGAAAGTTTGAAAGAAAGTAAAGAAAAAGATGAATAAAAAAGCAGGTCAGAAGGAAGAAAATAGAAAATGAAAAAAAAAAAAGAATTAAAGAAACATAAAGTAATGAATAAATGATAAAGTGAAAACAAATAAGACATTGAAGAAAGAAAGAAAGAAAGAAATAAAGAAAGGGACCGAAAGAAAGGGACCGAAAGAGAGAAAGAAAGAAAGAAAGAAAGAAAGGGACAGAAAGAAAGGGACAGAAAGAAAGAAAGAAAGAAAGAAAGAAAGAAAGGGACTAA